CAGGGAGGCGGTGAAGGACAGGAAGGCCTGGCGCAATATGGTTCATGGGGTCACGAAGAGTCGGACACGACTTAACGACTAAACAACAACAACTGTTGAGGAGGAGGAGGAGGATGGTAATTTATTAAATTTATATGCTGCCTGACTCCCAGCGACTCTGGGCGGTTGATCTCCTGGCACTTAGCAACTTGGGGGCTTCTGCTTTGCTTGTTTCAATGCCGTGCGACTTCTGGGCACTCTTGGGAGCATGACCTGTGAACCTCGGCTCTGAATGCACCTTCTTCCAGAAGAAGAAAACAGCTGGCAGCCTTGCACTGCTCCCAAAGAGGAGCTGATGATGACCAGGCTGACTTCACCCCGCGGTCGCCCAGCACTGACCAGGCTGACGGGGGCGGGTGGCCTCTCAAAGCCAAGGGCCTAGACAGTGGCAGAGAGCAGGGCCTGCCACGCAGCAGCAGCTGGAAACCACAGCTGCTTGCTTCAGTGCCAGCTTCTCCTAATGACATGCCTCAGTTTAATTTTTCTCAAGTCAAGAAAATGAAACATTTGTTCAAAATAGAAATGGTTAGTTAAATGTGCTGAATGTCATTTCCCCTCAGCGCTGTTGCAAAAATAACTGGTTTTGCACATTGGAAAAAAAAAAAACCAAGGCAGCAACAGCAGCTTCCAAAAAAAGCAATTTTATCCGAGGGTCTGATTTGGAAGAGGTTTAATCTAGCTAACCTAGGTTTCCCCAACATCTGCTGGGGATGGTGGAAACTGAACTGTCCTCGCCAGCTTTCCACTCTTCCACCAGGATGCTGGCTTGCAAAGGCTATGGTTGGCGATCCAGCACTCCAGGAGAAGCGGGTGCTGTTTCTCCAGGGCCCCCACCCAAAAGATCAACTCGCCCTTTCAGAATGTCTAGGTCAGCCTTCTCCAGACTTGTCTCCTCCAGCCCTGGCTGGGGAGTCACATATCTGGGAAGGCTGGCTTAGTTCCGCACGCCCTGTGTCCAGAACGCGCTACGACCAGGCAGCAAGGACTGCATAACCATCTCTAGAGAAGAAGGGGAAGCACCAGATAGGACATCCTGCAAATGTAGTCCTATACACTGCAGCTGCTGGGAAACCCTACTTTTCCTCTCCTCCATGATTTCACACCAACCAGAGATGCCTCCTGGGGCACTGCCTGTACCCCACTGCCACTTGGTTGATTCTCCCTGATCTCCCATCCTGAGGTGCAGACAAGAAGAATAAGGAGGATCCCTGCTAATGCTTCCAGTTACAGCTCTGATGAGACAGTGTGTGTTTGTGTATCTTGCACAAGATTGGGGCAGCCATCAGCTTCCCGAAATACCCAAAATACCTCCAAGACCAGAGTATTAACAGAAGACTCAGCCATTGGGAATACTATTGGTCCCTCGGGTTACGACCGCCTCTGTAAACGAACTTTCCGGGTAACGACCAGCTCCAGCCGCAAAAATTTACCTCGGTTTGCGAACTC